TTCTTAATCCCTATGGAAGTCTGAGCAACCTGAAGGTGGTACCAAATGCAAGGTGTCATCTGAGATAAGGAAGAACTAGAAAACAGTTTCAAAAAAAATTCTTCAAAATAACCTCAAAAAAATAATAAAGTAGAAAAACTGTGAGGACACGCAAAGAGTGCCAGTGATAAGTTTAAAAGAATGAAGGTGGTCAGGTGGGAGATTTACAGAGGTAGAAAAAAGATCTGTATTCCACATAATTTTTAAGGGTTGAACATTTAGTAATAAGGCATTTAATTCCAGTTTATCGTCACTAATCTCCTGCTAAGATGTTAAAGCCTCATTTTTCTTTGCCTTCTGCACTTAATACTGCAGCGAAACAGCTATGCCCAGTTGCCACAACAGCTATGCCCAGTTCTCTAATTCTAGTATAAAGAGTCTTTCTCCTCATTCTGGAAAAAGAGTGCAACTCCAGATAGCTGCTTCTGAGAACAGGCCATATATATTCACACTCTAAAACACTTTGTCTGTATGAGCGCTTATAAAGCACATACAACTTAGCTGGAGTTAAACAACCCAAAGCAACACTGTAAGTTCTAGCCCCTGAGGTAAAGCAACTGACACTGGAGGTTATTCTAGAATGAAAATCCAAATAAAGTACAACACATTTAAAATTATGTCAGATAAGGAATGGAGATTGCCTTAACAAGTAAAAAAGATGATTCAATAAAAAAGATGACTCAGGAAGTACAAAATAGCTGGCAATGTGCTGGAACCAGCTCCTACCAGCTCACAGGAGCAGATTGCTAAATGTTTGGGAATTTTGCAGCCTGGCTGACATCACGTGGGTAGCTTGATATAAGCTGTGGAGGGAGAAGTTACACCATGGAAATTAACAAGTGCTACAAATGAGTTTTTTCTGGAGAGCTGGTTGTTGAACATTTACTAACATATCTGTGAAGTTAGCTGTCTCCAATTATTTGTGGGCTTTTTTTGGAATGAGATTATATTTGGTTATAAGGAATGCTTCTCAAGGCTTTGCAATACAGTATCTGTAAGGCAATGAAAGGCAAATGAAAATAAACTCCCAGGAACTCCAGTGACATGCTCCAAAGTGGCAAGGAATCTAAGCAAATATTGAATGTGTAAAACAATAAGGGTATATGATAATGGCAAAACTAAGATCCTGGACAGCAATAAATGCATGTTACCTAACCAGTGAGTAGCCTTAAAAAGATAAAGTTCATGTGTTTATTAGAAGGAGAGCTAGAATACTGAAAAAATTAAACTCCATCAAGTAAGAGGGCTAAGAATATAGTAAAAGCATGAATAAAAGTCACAGATAAAAAGTCAAAGAGTAACCATAAACAGTTGTAAAGAAAGTTCTAAAACTTGCAAAACAGTAAATGGAACAAAATGGAACAGGGAAACAAAACAGAAAGCAATTTAAAAACAGCACACACATCAGAAACACACACACACACACACAAACATGCAAACTCAACAAATAAAGCAAAAAGCATAAAAGGAAAAAAAGCATGTAAAACTAGAACAAACAGCATGTTACGTGGTAGAAAATAAGCATTTATATAGATCAATATTATATAGTTCAATAAAATGTAAATGACTAAACTTACCTGTTAAAAGAATGAGACTGCAGAAATGGATTAAAACACAAAATTTAGTTAAGTGATTATGAAAGTCACACCTAGAACATAAAGACACAGAAAGGTTAAAAGTACAAAGGTGGAAAAAGCTGATATATTTATATTTAATATTAGGTAGCAAAGACTTTAAGGTAAGACTGGATAAAGAAAATGTGGCACATATACACCATGGAATACTATGCAGCCATAAAAAGGATGAGTTCATGTCCTTTGCAGGGACATGGATGAAGCTGGAAACCATCATTCTCAGCAAACTAACACAAGAACAGAAAACCAAACACTGCATGTTTTCACTCGTAAGTAGGAGCTGAATAATGAGAACACATGGACACAGGGGTGGGAACATCACACACCAGGGCCTGTCAGGGGGTGGGTGGCTAGGGTAGAGATAGAATTAGGAGAAATACCTAATGTAGATCTACGGGGTGATGGCTGCAGCAAACTACCATGGCACATGTATACTGTGTAACAATTGTACCCAATTTGCACATGTACACGAGGACTTAAAGTATAATTTAAAAAAAGAAAAACTGACAGAAGTATAGAGACTTGTATCATCCTGATCATGTGAAATTTCAGTAGAAATACCTCAATTAGTTTAAGTAAAACTTAAAATGTTAGTAAATATAAATATTTTAGGAAAATAATAAGCTGAATTTACTGGGCAAAAATAGAACCTGGATACAAGTAAACAGAGAATTTGTTGATTCTTCTCAAATTCACATTAAGTATTTGTAAAAATTAACTTGTGTACTAAGCCGTAAAGCACATCTCAACATGTTTAGAGGAAAAATAGAACAATATAGACCACATTCTCCAATCATTATGCAATTAAGCTGGAGGTCAGTAACAAAAAAGATAAATTTAAATATTTCTGAAGTTTGTAAATTTCAAAAACACACCTCTCAATTATCTATGTGCCAAAGAAGAAATTGTAATGGGAAATTGAGAAATACTTAAAAATAAGTTGTAATGAAAGATCTACCTATCAATATTTGTAGAAGAGGGCCAAGGCAGAAATTATAGAAAAATTTACAGCTTCAGTGTGTTATTAGAAAGGAAGAAAGGCTGAAAACTAATGATCTGACATATAAATAAAAGGTTTTAGAAAGGAACAAACAAACAGAGGAAAAATAAAAGCAAAAATCATGGGAAAAAAACAAAGATAGAATTGGATCAGCAAAGGGTTAAGGCAAAAGTTAGTTGTTTGAAAGAACAAGTATAATAAACAGAATTCTGGTAAGGTTGATTCATATAAAGATATTAGACAGAAATAATACTAGAAAATTGTTTAGAATAGATTTAAAAAGGGAATACTAAAAACCTTTGTGACAATAATTTTTAAAACTTAAGTAAAATGAAAAATTCCTAGAAAAAAGTAACAATAAATTTAAGAAGAAAATTTACGTAAAATAGTAAGTAGCAAAAGACTACTTAAAGAGTGATAGATTTTGTATAAAATCTAAAAACAAGCAAGAAATTAAATAACTTATTCTTTGGAGATACATACGTTTGGTGACAAGATTAATTTTACAAAACAAAAGAAATAATAAACACAACATTCAGATTAATGGTCACCTTGGGCATAGGAACATAAGAAGGTCATAAAGGAAAATCTACCAAGTAGATGCAACGGCACTGGCTATGTCCTTTATTCTCTAGCCCACAACTGTTTGTTGCACTATTATGCTTAATAAATTACATTTATATTATCTCTAAGTTGTGAATATGACGTAGCTTTTAAAATAAAAATTTCAATTTAAAAAGATTTGTGCTTATTATATAAAGACTAATTACAGAGCTCTCCAAAAGCTAGGTGGGGGCTTCTGGGGCAGAGGAATTGGGTAAAATGTTGAATTGGTAGTGAGTTTCTTCTCACTGGAGTTATTCAAGTACAGAGAAGAAAACCCTTTTAAATTAATATGAATACTTAAAGTAAACTTAAGTATTACTTGGTTGATTGAATTAACTTCCATCTACATCTGAAATACTATAATTCCTTGGCTCAGTTGTTAAGCAAACTAATTTAACTGTTCGTGTTAGCCAATTTGTTAAAAATAGGAAGTCCAGATAGATACTGCCCTTGTCTGCCAATTCCAGAATTAGAATAAATCAGTTGCTCCCAGAAAAAGCTAGGGATCACCTTTACCCAGCAAATCACTTGCTTCTGTTTTTTTCTTAATAATTTAATCATTCGTTACATGTTTTTCCTTGGTAAGGCAGGGGAGAGGAAAGGAGGGGTGGGATAAGTATATATTTTTAGTATTTTCATGAAGCTCAATTTTATGCAACTAATTATCTAAAGATAGTATTGAAGCTAATTTTAGCAGGTAATAAGTTTAGGCAGGATCTTAGAGAATATTCTGCCTTTTAATCTTCATAGGTTCTAGAATTGAAAGTAGAAAGTCACTTTTCTAAAAGTGTTACCAAACGTTCCTCAGATCCTTCACTATCAAGGAGGGGAATGCCAACGAAAGTGCTGGGTTGTCACCTCAGGGAACATTTAAAACTAAGTTAAAAGCATAGATTAAATAAATTCATTTATGCCAACTGCCAAAAGGCAAGGGCAATCTTCAGAGTCTGGAAATGACAGAAGGCAGGCAAGATATGCATGAGGGGGTGGATATTCTGGCATTTACTAAATCCCCGCTGGAAACAACCGATTTCTTAGATCACTCAGTTCAGTCAATTATCCCTGCAGATAACCCTATCAGAAGTACCTCCTACCTATAGAAATCTGCCTAGGGTTTGCTAACCCACCTGCCTGTTTCTGAATAATGCTATTTTTGGTTATTAATTACAGCAAAAAAAAAAAAAAAAAAAAAAAGAGGATCACTGAATACAACCCAGAAGGGCTAGTTTTCTCTCAGGTGGGGTGACAAAAGAAACTGATGCTGAAGACTGAAAATAGCCCCAGCCCTTCACTTATTATTAGCCCTCTTAGTGAGGTGTCATATGGCGGGTTATGTCTTCTTTGGAGAGAGTCAATCATATCACTCTGTTGAGAAGAGAATGCTGAACAGCAAGGACTTTTGCAATGAAATAATGCAAACTATTCCAGATATGCATAACGGTTCTATTTGCTGTGTTCCTTAGGTCAGGGTATAAGAAACCAATCTTGAAGGAAATTGCAGTAGCTTATCTTGCCCCAGATATTACTGCTGGTACATAGGGATTTGGCTATTCAGCTGAAAGTAACCAAATTAAAAAAAAAAAAAAAATCCCTTATTGGGTCACATGACCCTACCAGTTCTCAAGTCAGATCTCTTTTCATAAGGGCACTGTGTGGAGCTTCTGAGATCCGTGGTTTTCTCTGCAAATACAGGAAGAAAGCAGGTGGATGAATGCATAATGATGGCCCTACTTCTGGCCTCTTTGCTGGCATTCCTGAGCTTGGGATCAGGATGTCATCATCGGATCTGTCACTGCTCTAACAGGGTTTTTCTCTGCCAAGAGAGCAAGGTGACAGAGATTCCTTCTGACCTCCCGAGGAATGCTGTTGAGCTGTGAGTATCAGAGGGAGTGGGAACAACTGCATGGCTGGCATTTGTGCGTTGAGTACTATTATTATTTTTACATTAGGCTAATATCTGTTAGGCTGAAACATTTCTGACCCTTGACCGAAGTCCTGAATAAAACAACAGACTCCCCAGCCCAACCCTCCTGTCTGTGGCTTTCCAAAAATCTTAAGGGAGTTTGTCAGGGTACAGCAGCATGAAAACCTGAATCCAAAGGCAAAGGGAAAAGTTTTTAGTCTTTTCATTGCATTTGCTCTTTGGTTTCACACTCTCTTTAGTGGAACCAGAAAAGGAAAATGATGGCAAAGTAGAAACTTAGGAGACCTAGAATTGTAGGTAGAAAGGTGGCTTTGATGTAAGCAGAATACACAAGGTATGTCGCCTGAGGACACTGAATCTAAAAAGCCAGAGTCTTTGCAGCTTTGAAGATACCAGCAAATAATTTCTGAACTAAGATCCTACTTTTGGGGGTAAAAAGGAGGTGGTGGAGAGGAGAAAGTGTGTGAAGAAAGAAAGATAGGAAAGAAGCAGAGAGATGGAGAAATACAGGATAATCTTTTATACAGCTAGAAAAAAATGCGATTAATAATTTAGAAACTTACTTAACTATTTTAACAGGAAGTAGACTTCTAGAGTTGGACAGGAATTTAGGCACGATCTCACTCTCTTTCTTTTGTAAATTAGAAATCTGTTGTCTGAAGAGTAAAGAGGACTTTCTGAACTCTCATGATGAGTTGAGATGGAGCCAAAACTGGAAATCAGGCCTTTTGACTCACAGTCTACTGTTTTGTTTTGTTTTGTTTTTTGTTTTGTTTTGTTTTGTTTTCTCAATCCCCTGTGTCCTACTCCGTTAGAGCAACAGTGAGGCAAATTGTCCAGTTACTGCTTCCCCTGAGAATTGGCAAGTTGGGACTCAGGGACTTTAGATACCATTTTTGTTTTTATTCCAAGGATTTTAAACAGAAGGCTGTTTCAATCTTTGTCACTTAAACCTGTGGATGATTTGCACTTAATTGAAGAAGGTGGTCATTTCTTCAATTTACCAATTGCCATGTTTACACTAAAACATGTTAGTGTTGCGTTTCAGATTTTCACCCAGGGACAATGAGTTGCAGAATTACAGACCTGGTTGACTCTGCTTGCCACTTTTCCCCTTAACATCTCAAGTCTTCAGTTCTTATCCAGAGGCAGCTTCAGAGGCAGGGAAAATAGCTGGCCAGTTCTGTGTTTTGGCTACACTGTCTCAGATTAGACAGTTACTCCTGATTATGCTGAAGAATGTGCCCATGTACAAAAACAGTCTGGTTTATTAGGTAAATATAAGCACAGGAGAAGGCCAACGTACCTGAGCTCCTGAAAGTCATTTGCTCCTAAGTGACTGAACGATTACTTAACCCCTTCTGAGAGCCTCAAGTTCCTCATTTCTGAAGCCATTTTAATGCAACCTGCTTGGTTAAATTGTTGTGAACACTGAAAGATATAAATGTTCCCTGCACCATAATTTCCACCTCTCTGGGACATACTCCACTTCTTCCAATGTTTCTGTGTGGGCCAATCAGTGCCATCCAGTTGATAAAGCAAACAGCCCCAAACAAGTTTTAATTTTAGGTTGATTCCACACTAGCCTGTCTGATTTCTGAAATATCCTTACCAGAAGAGAGATTTTCTTTTTTCATTCTTCCAAGAAAACATAGGGGGGAAAAAAGAGGAAGAGATGGAGGGAGAAAGGAAAAGAGAAAGAAAAGAAAGAGAAGAAAGAAAATTCACCCCCATACCTTAAACCTTCAGGAAGTATATTTGTATGAATTACTATGAGAGGAGCAGGATAATGAATTTTTGAAAAAAGGTAATACTAAGGTATAAATGACTAAAACATATCTCTGGCCAAGAGCATTTTGCAACTAAGGAAAGAGAGCATGAGGTATTGAGATAGTATGGAAAGAGATTGTGGGAAAGAGCATGATGGACAGAGCACCAGAAACAAATTTCACAATCTCGACAAAGGCTAGTTCTGGGTCAATTCCTTACTTCGATGGATGCAACAGAAGACAAAGTTGCATAAAACTAAGAAAGGGAAAGAAAGTGCTTGCCATTTGGCACCATGTTCCCCCACCTATGGAAGTAGTATAGTTAAGAGCTTTAGAAGCTCTCCCAGATACTCAGTCTTCTCAAGATTCTCTCCTCTCCACACTCATTGGTAGGGCTTGAGTTGGACCATCCTAGAGTTTGGCTTTGCAATCTTCTTGGAAAGGTGTACTAAGATAAGAAGAGAAATTTTTCTTGGTCTATTAAATTTTTAAAAAGGAAAATTTTTTGAGGTCAGTGTGTTAATCACTGAAGAGCAGATAAAATATCAAGTGAATTAGAACTTGGACATACTGTTAGAATGAAAGAGCAATTGTCTTTATTTCTGCTTCCTTAAAAAGACCGAATCAAGGTTATCTAAGACACTGGCAGAAGAAAGATGAAATGGCCTGCTCCACTAAGTATCTCTGATTCACCTTATAGTCTTCCAGGTTTGGGTATCAACTTTAATGATGATTGCATAAATGTAGGTAGATGGATTATTGGACTTCGTTGACCACAACTGCTTAATCCATCAACATGTCACAGCTTCACTGTTACTCAGGCTCACCTGGTGGAAAACAAATCCTATATTTTACTATGTACATTTTTATCCTATCATTCCATGCACCTTGCAGCAGTTTCATTTCATTTGCTATATCTGCTAGATATCACGAACATTGCTAATTTCCTATGATCTGCACATGCTGACCTTAATGCTAAAAGAATAGAAGAACCATCAACAGCAAGGTAGATTTCATTTACTAGGGAGCTCCTACTATTTGCTTTATGCACTGTGTTTTGCATAAACTACTTCATTAAAACTTCACAAAAAACTGCAAGTTTGGTATTATTGCTATGTTTTTCAAATAAGACAAACCAAAGCACAAAAAAGGTGAGTAACTTGGGCAGTTATCCCTGCAGCTCCTGGATAGCAGAGCTGGGATCCAAACTTGAGTCTTTTATATCTCCTCTGCATGCCATATGACATGAACATCATTTACTCTGTACCTTTCTTATTCTAGGGAAAAACAAAGTAGTCCTTTACTTTTTATTTTTTTTTTGAGATGGAGTTTCACTCTTGTTACCCAGGCTGGAGTGCAATGGCGCAATCTCAGCTCACCACAGCCTCTGTCTCCTGGGTTCAAGCAATTCTCCTGCCTCAGCCTCCCGAGTAGCTGGGACTACAGGCGCGTGCCACCATGCCCAGCTAATTTTGTATTTTTAGTAGAGACAGGGTTTCACCATGTTGACCAGGCTGGTCTCGATCTCTTGACCTCGTGATCCACCCACCTCGGCCTCCCAAAGTGCTGGGATTATAGGCTTAAGCCACCGTGCCCGGCCTAGTCCTTTACTTTTTAAACCAGAAATCAGCTTTATGGACTATACAATCTCTTGCAACTATTCACCTCTATCACAGTAACAGAAAAGCAGCCATAAACAACATGTAAATTAATGAACATAGACTGGTTCCAAGAAAACTTTATGGACACAGAATTTGAATTTCATATAACTGTCATGTCACAAAGCATTATTTTTATTTTTTCAACCATGTAAAACTATGAGAAAGATTTTTAGCTCATTGGCCATAAAAAACATGGGGCAAGCCAAATTTGGCCCTAAACTATATATTGCCTGCTTCTGATTTAGACTACAGCTGAGAGATTGGGTAAATATTACCGGTTTGAGTGGGATTTAGGCAGCCTAAGGCCGCAAGGCACCATGGAGAAATCACTAACCTAGGTGATCAGGGACACTCATGGGCAGCCTTAAAATGGTTTTGATGAGTCAGAGATGGTAGAGCACAGTGTCTAAAATTTGAGATACCTGAGTTTAAACCCAGGATTTGCCATTAAATTTTCTGTTATCTGGGCCCTTGGCTGTGTAATGGAAATTACCATGTACGCCTACCTGGCAGAGTTGCTATGAGGATTACATGAGACAATACAGGTAAAGCCCTTGGTACAATGTCTCTCACGTTGTTGTTATTGTTGATGAGGATAATGTTGCTCTCAACTGTAGACTATTAGGCAAAATTTGCCTACCACAGAGGGCTTTCATGAGGATCAAGTCAGTCAAGAGGTATGAGACTGATTTGGAAAACTGATATAAAGATCTTTGTAACTCTGAGGTAGTTAGCAACCTCCCATTTGTTTAAGAATAATCTCCCCCCAGTGAATGTAGCACTTAATTTCCATGGACTTACTTTCTGGGTAAGAAAATGTGTCCCTTGATGCTGTCGATATTTGCCAAGAATTCAGGGAGCAGGTTCATTCTAACCATAGTCAAAGGAATTGGGATTTCTGACTTATTTGGAAACTCAGCTTTACCTAGAGGTCATCAGTGGATCTAGAAAAGCGTCTTTGATCTTACTTTATTATTCCTGGAGTTAGAATTCCTAAGGAGAATGCAAACACCCATTCTACATCTGAAGTTTGAAGTCTAAGCCACAGTATGGATGCAATGATCTTTTTCTTCGCAGGGTCAGATGATTATAATACTGAAGAAGAAAAGGGTCCACTGATGGTCATTCTTGTCTTAGGGAGACCTGTCCTGAGATTATGTTATAGACTACCTGTGTTAAACCCTGTCCTCATAGCAAGTTTCCATATCTCGTTGCAATCTCACTTCACCAGCATTTACTTCTAATTATCTTTTCCCTCCTTTACTTTCTTTTTTGCCTTATATTCCTTGTTTTCTTGTCCTGGTTTAGATCTCCATATTCCATAACCATAGATTATTTAGTTACGAATTTTAAAGTGTGTCTAAGTGAGGCTTTGATATGTCCTTAGTTCTGAGGAATGTATCAGTTGTGTACAAAAAGGGTAGCCTTTGCTATACTGAGGCGTTCTGTGATGTCCAACAGTGACAAAGATTTTTTCATGTTTGTAAACATGTTTAACTGTACCATTTTCTAAGAGCAT